CATTCTAAAAGTGTGTTCATATTCCTATTATTATTATTATTATTATTATTATTATTATTATTTCATTTATTTCATAAGATTTTTTTTATTAACTTATTCGTTTTTTATTAGAAATGTGGTTCGCACATAGCGCATTGGTTTCAAATGATTATACAAACGTCAACTCTCACATACAAGTAATGTTTATTGTTGATATAATAGCTGAGAAACATGATTGGATTCTCGTGGCTCGCAAAAACAAGGTACAATTTTTTATCCCATCATAATCTTTTTATTCTTTTATCCCTTGATATTAATTTATTTTCATTATAGGCTACACTTCCAAGATTCATGATAATATTTGATAAAAGTCTTTAATATCATTATCTTAATCTTTCTGGCAAAATATGGAGCGAATCTTCCCTTTCAACGTGACGAATAAATAGGAAAAACTGTTCACGATTAAAACAATTGTGTAAATGTGTGATAATTGGCTGATTCGATTAATACTATTCTTATATCAACCGTTCAAATTCGTACTTAACCTTTTTTTTTTTTTAAAAAAAAAAAAAAAAAGCATCGAATACATGCGAGGACACACAGCTCCAATATTATTCGTAGGCTATTAAAGCAATAGTATGAAGACATGTAACGACATTATTCATGCATAATTGCTTCGAAAAAAAAAAGGGGAAATCATTCCTTTTTACGTGAAAGAGTCGGCGCTTCTTGCTATGAAAAGGAATTTTTTTAAAAATTTTTGTACATAATGTATTTATTATTATTAAAAATTTCCAATATAAAAGCACGTGAGAGTTGAATTTTTTTTTTCTTCGTAATAACGAAGTAAAAGACGCGTGATTCTAAGAATTTTTATGATTTATGCATAGCATTTTATGATTTCTAAGGAGTTTTCACAGTCGGCTGATATAAACATCCTGTATGCTTTTTTTTTGATTTTTTTTTAAGATAGACAAAGAATTATTGACACATATTGTATGCACTTAAAAAAAGATTGTTTGAACGGCATATAGCTAACGAATGCTGCAAATTGATTATACAGAGACATTAAGACTTAAGCAATAAAAAAACCATTTAATATAATCAATTTGCGTATTGGTATAAGAATGCTTGAATGGCAAGCGTACGTACGTATGTACTGTGCATGTATAAACCGCCAATTTTCTAAGCTTGTTATCAGATTTCTAATTGACGTTGAATGAATGAATGAATTAATTAATTAATGAAGATAAATATTAGATTACTACAGGACCACCAATCATAACACGTTTAAAATAATTAGACAAAATGTTATTAACGAATTAGATTAATCATATGAGATTGGTTTCATATTCGTTTCTAAATATGAGCAATTATTAAAAATAATTAAATTAAGGTTCTAAAAACCTTTGAATATGATTTATTTGACTCATGATTCTTAGATCTTATACCCTTACATACAAATTCTCTGAAAAAAAATATATTTTTTTTAATAGCTCGAAAGTTTGACTTTTGAATAAAATAATTTCTATTACGTACAGTTATTATGTACAATTATTACGTACGTACATATCCGTATTTCCTTAAAAAATAAGATATCGTTGTTGGATTTATTGTATGTGCGTATATGCATGCATACATGCGTACGTACAGATTTTAAAAAAATGATTTAAAAGAAACATATATTATATATGATAAAACTCTTCTCTGTTTGTATATTTATTAATATATATTTAATCAATTTTGATTGTGTTCTTTCAACTTTAACTTATCCTTTTTTAATGAAATAACGGAGTAACGTCGCGTGACCACCACTACGTGTCTTGACATAAGGAATATGAGTACTAAATAAGCACTGTTCAAGTTTTAATATGGCTTTATTAGTAAATGCACGCATATGTGAATTATTGACAGGCTGCAGAATTTTTCTATCCTTAAATTTTGACATTTTCCCGTTAAGAATTTTATGTACTGTACGGGCGTATGTACATACGTACCTACCCATATATAAACCGATATATTATACAGTATATTAATATATATATATATATATATATATAATATGTAAATGTTTTATTACTAGAAAGTGTAAACTAATTGTTCGAAGGACATTACCGGTAGAGTCATAATGATGTTTTTTGTGTGTGTCAACGAATTACGAAACAATCATTATGCTCTGAAAATAGTCGTTTTGTCGGACTGATCCGTGTCCTTTCGGACTTAAATGCTGAAATGGTTTCCATTTACTTCTGTACTTAGTTCATTGAAACAACTTCCTTTTTCGAACAATTGCAAAAATAATTCATTTCGATTATATAACCTGCGATGTGACGTAAGCATTCAATTTCGGTGATATCAATATTATTCACTTCACCAAAAATTTGTTATTACAATATTTGTACTACATGCACTACATTTTGGCCAATAGTATTTCACTATATAATTCTGAAATTAAAAAAATAATTTGAATAAATAAATAAAAATATATTAATAATGTTATACTGTATAATCAGATTACTGGATTATGAACGACTCTTAATTTAATTCGATATAGCATGTTCTTGAAGTTTGAGAAAAACCAAATTTATGCATTGTATTACTATTAGTTTTGCTATTAGAGGAATGTTAGTTTTTTTGGAATACTTATGAGTAAACTAAAACTAAAATCTGTTTGCTTGGGTCTTTTATTTCAAAGCAATGCTTTTTGCAAGAACCATTATAATTACAGAATTACACTAGCATATTTTTAAATATAGCTATAAATATATCTTTAATAAAGCTATAATTAGTCTAATACGAAATCTTACAGTTTACTGCAAAATTTGATTGCAAAATTTGATCAAATCAATAGAATTCTAAAGTTTTTGTATTGTTAATATTTATTAGTAGTATTATTATTATTATTATAATAAATATGCTACAGCAGTGTTGTACATGGGATGTGCTCAAAATTGTTTAAAACTATCCAAGCCTATGTTTCAAGTTTAAATAATTAATAAATTAATTTAAAAAATATACAATTATATATTTTTTTAGATGCTAGACTCATTTTTAAAAAATTAAATATAGAATTTTAAATAATTTTAATTTAAAAAAATGTTCAAATTGTTCTATGTACAATACTATACTACAGTATACAGTATACAGAAAAATTTAGCTATATATTTTACAGTATATTAAATATAATAATATATATATTGTATAAGTTAAAATTTTATTTTGTACTGTATAATTATTTAAGTGTAATATTTATTTTTTAATTTCTTATTTATAAATTAATTTTAATAATACTATACAGTAATATACAGTAAGTGCTATTTCTTAAAAACATATTTAGTTAAAGTTTTTAAAATACTAATTATACAATAATATCTAATTTGGTTTAAAAATTTTTGTATTACTATACAGAGAAACCTCTCTAAATGCACCCCAAAAAATTTAAAAAATGTGTACTTGGAGAGAGTGTGCATTTATAGAGAGCAAAATATATAGTGCTATTATAAGCTAGGGCCAGACTGTACTATGTATTTAAAAAGATTTTACATAGAAAGTGCATTTATAGAAAGCAAAATACTGTATATAGTGCTATTATAAGCTAGAACCAGACTGTACTATGCATTTAAAAAGATTTTACATAGAAAGTGCATTTATAAAGAGTGCATTTAGAGAGGTCTCTCTGTATTGTTAAATTATTTATTATAAAATGTACTTTATAGTGGTTTGTATCTATATATTATATAGTTTATATATTTTTTAAGTTTTTTATAAGTTTTGTATAAAATTTTTAGCACAAATTTTTTATAACTGTATATTAAAGTTAGTATTTAGGTTTGGAATTAAGGCTTAGGAAGAGTAAAGCATTTTTACTTAGAACATCGTATATTAATTAATTGGCTAGTTTTTATAATAATGAAACATAGATGGTAAAACACCATAAATGCGTTTAGTAAAAGTGATTTTAAATAATACTTATATATATATTATTATAAAAAAATAAATAAAAATATACTGTATACAATCAAACCTCTCTATAGTCACTTTTTATATAAGCATATTTATTAAAAAAAATTATTATTAAATATAATAATTTTTAACCCTTATAATTGGCATACTTCCCTATAATCACACTTTTTGTATTCCAAGAGTAACTTTTATAAAACAATTGCTTTTCAAATTTTTAAATTTTTTATAAATGTAATATGTAATAGTTCCAACTCTAATTGCAACATAATAACTCATGTTAAGCTTTTATAATCACTTAATCGGCATATAAATACCTGGCACGCCAAAAAAAATTGAAATGCCCTTTGACAAAATCTTTGCCAGAACATAATCATGGCATATCCGCGGAATTTTTAGAAGGTATAATCAATCCTAAAACACCCTAAGTGACACAAATCCTTAACGATCTCGAGATTCCATGATTGGATTTTAACGATTTTGAGCTCGTTAGATTCATCTCAATCACAGGTTGAATGAAGACAAATCGGGCTTCGCGTAATCCCGATATGAACCTGATTTGAAACAGATATTTGGCGCAAATAAGAGACCTTTATGATACAAATAGGGTTCATATAGATGCCTACCTTGTTATAATTTTTTAAATTCTTTGATTGGATAAGATTTTTTTCAGATAGCTCTATCGGTAAATAGCTTGCCTTATAGCTTTACGATTTACCAATAGAGCCATCGGCATTCTGATATATATTGAGCACCTATATGAACCCTATCTGTATCATAAAGGGTCTCTTATTTGCGCCAAATATCTGTTTCAAACCATGTTCATATCGGGATTACGTGATGGCAGTTGGAGCCCGATTTGTCTTCATTCAATCTGTGATTGAGACGGGTAAAATCATCCAAAACGGACCAGTGAATCAAATGTTATTTGCAATTAAAGATTTTGAAATTTTTAAATAGTAATTCTCGGATATGGTATATCACCAACACTATAATATACTTACATATTATACAAAATCTATTTATAATATATAAGTGTGTGTATTATAAATATATTTTTTTTATACCGTGCATGCTCGCTGGCGTGCCACGACTGGTATGTCAATCAATCTATATATAACCAAGTAATTTAGAAAGATAATAAAGTTAAATTAAATTACTTAAATAGTTGACTATTATTTTGTAAAAAAATTTAGTACGTAATGATCTATAATAACTTATTAAATATATATATATGTATAATAATAACAAACAAATAATCCAAAATTTAATCTTAAAAAAAAACGAACACTAAAATCTTAACTCTGTCCATAAAACAGGTAAAATAACAACACATGCAGTATAAATTACAATAATACTTTTTAAAATGTTTTCCGGTATGTGTAAAATTGTGTCTTCTCGAAATATTCTATACACTCCATATATTGCCACGGCAAAGAAATGAACGACAAGCAAGAGTGGACTTGGATATAATCTAATAACAATAACAATAATTATTAAAATTTTATGTGTACCTCAAGTTAATAATTTAAATAAAGCTAACACATACCCTGCCAACATTCCACAAGGATGACTGATGCAAATACCGCCGAGCTTAAAGTACTTGAAACATGCTTCACGTAATATATGTAAATACTTGTCTATATATATAAGAAAAACGACGTGGTCATTTAAAACCGTAACAAGACATGTGCTTTTGTAAAGAATTAATGCCTACCATCCGCTGCAGCAAATAAAGAATGTAACGCTTGCGCAAGTACGTTTATAACAGTACTACAATAAAATTTTCGCTTCCAATGAAATACTTGCAATTGTGCCAATATAAGTCCAATATCGTTGAAATCCGGTGTTTGAGTAGGAGATAAAAGATCGGAAAGTATTAATACATCATTAAAGCCTACAGTCATACCACCTACGATTAAAAGTAGTTCATATCATTAATATAAATCATAAAAATATATCAAAAATTTTGAAGATTCGTGCATACCACCAGTCAAAGGATGCCTCATATTCATCGCGTCACCCAAAATAATCAATCCTCCGTTAACATTGGCAGAAGGTGGTAAAAAGCTGTTTGGCATTGAACGAAGACGCTCAGTTTGTAATGCTTCATAAAAGGATGGCTAAAATCAGAATTCAATATTTTAATTATTGTTGATAACAAATTATAACTATAAAATATAACTATAAAAAAATATGCTTAAAAATTTTACTTTAACAGATTTTGGAATAAATGGCAAGACGTTACTTTCAATATATTTCTTTGCAATAAATGAAAAAAAGGTGATTGTTAGAAAAACTGTAAATGCAATAAATAAACGAAGACTATATCTTGCAAACCTTTAGTTCGCCTGAACCATTACTTGGCAACTTTCCAGGAACATCAATTAATACGCGTGTCTCATGTGTACCTATCTAAATGAAAAATGTATGAATATTAATTATATAATTAACAAAAAAAAAAATCAAATTGTAATATATAAATTAAATACCTGATACATCAAAATTGGCGAACTAGCTAGTACTACATGACCATGATTCGGAAATGGAAGTATAGCATCTTTCATTACAAATCTATTCATCAAACCAGAAAAAAGCTTAGCTAATTTTGTACAATTATATCAACGGAAACTAACCGAGTTATAAAGGTTACCCAACAAAATTAGATTTTATTTGTACATCTCTTAGGATAAAGTCTTTACGAAACTTTGAAAAACAACCATCAGCAATGATTGTTAAAGGAGCGTGAAACTATGGTAGAATCATTTGCAATAATGAAGGTTAGAGAAATGAAGTCACGTGTGAGTTAAGAATAAAAACACTAACATGGCGGACATCACTTTCGCCCTTAGGTGTACATATTACACCTAATGCACGTTCAGTTAATGGACAACTAATAATATCATTCGCCATAGCTTCATAGATAGTGACACTTTTTTAATAAGCATTATATTAAGATCTATTATGTTTTGTAGCGATTATATGATAAATAAACTCATCAGACTTAATATCATACTTTGATATTTTTGAAGCAGCCTTTCGAAGATTCATAATAAATTTTCCATGATGAAATGAACGACCTCGGGAAGCTTTGCCATTTACACTTGGGTAAGGTATAGAAACAGTTTCGCCTTCATAAAAAACACCATATCCATAGCATGGGATTGAATCAATATTTTCTAGGCACTCTATAAAAAATTTTAAAAATCTTGAAAAAAATGATATAATAATTAAATAGTTTGACCGAACATATTGCATTATTTAAGCGTACCTGATAAACCAAGCTTTTCTAAAGCTTTAACACCTCCAGGTTGAAGTAATTCACCAACAATTCTGTTGGGTTCGCTCATATCTCTTTCTATATATTAATAGCATTCGATTAAAGATGTTTCAACTGTATGGTGGGGTGGCTTTAGAATACCTACCGATAAGTAAAACTTTTCTCCCTTGCTTTCCAAAAGCAACGGCTGCGACACACCCAACGATCCCAGCACCAATGATGATCAAATCATATTCTAATTTCATGCTGGAAATCTGAACTTATATAACAGTATTACAGTATAAAGTTATGGTGGGTGTCGATTGAATTTAATCAAGAATTAATTAGCAAATGAAGTGAATTAATCAAGAATTAAAAAAAAATAAAAAATAAAAAATAAATAACAATTTACCTCAGAAACCATCTTTTAAATAATTTCCTTACTGGATAAGTCTTACTATTTTTCTGACGAGAAACAAAATTTGTCTCTTTATATGGTAAAAAAGTGTTACACAATAAATTAATATGGGCCGAAAAAATTTATGATACGATAAATCGATTTTCCTGTTGTGTATCGTTACATCATGGGTTAGAATTTTCATAAGATTTATCAAAATTGATATCAGTCAAAAAATCTCAATGAATATCCGATATACAACGGTGATCATGAAGCATATGGGTTTTATTATTGTAATTCAAAATAGGACTTTGTAATTTACCGTATATCGCTACCCTGGGTCTATGTCAAATTTTGAAAATCAAAACCTGAAATTTAATTGTCACGTCGTGTGATGTCAGGTTCCAATATTCAATTCAAACCTTTTTATGAATATTGGAATCCGATATCACGCGACGCGACAATTAAATTTCAGGGTAGCGATTATAGTTGTTAGACGAAACCTAGAGGTTTCGCGCTGACTAAACGTGAAACCTAGTTTCGTCTTTCGTCAACTAAAATCTGCCGAAAATTAATTGTCACGTGCGTGATGCCGGGGTTCCAATATTCAAACCCCGCTTATGATTAGTAATCATTATTACTAACCGACATCACGCGACGCGACAATTAATTTTCGGGATTTTGACATAGAAACGAAACGAATTATTAATGATTATTTCGCACATTTCAGTTAGGGATGTTAAGTGGTCCACGGGAAACGGGTTCAGTACAGGACTGGTCCAAAAACTAGTCCTATAATCTTGTGATCTCAAGATCATCTAATTGGCTAATTTATGTTGATC